TAGCCTTATTGAGAAGTACAATATATACGGAGAGGTGTCAAAGCAGAATAGTGAGAAGTACCGAAGGAATAGACTTACTCATGGTCATTACCGTGAGAGTCCAGAAGGAAGAGAGAGATTTCATCGAGTAGGAGTTTTCCTGAGCTACTTCAAGGAAGATATTCTGATCTGAAGAATATTCCTAAGAGCTAAAACTTACCTAGCACTCACTATGTGCCTGAGGCTAGCTCATCTAATAATCAGAACTACCGCGAGACATATACTATTGTTCCCTTTTTAGTTGAGGAAACTGAGCAACAGAAACAATAAGAGACTGGCCAAGCTCAAATAACAAGTCATTCATGGATTGGGACTCAAATCCAGGCAGACAAGCCCTAGGGCCTAATCTGTACTCAGTGGTCATCCTGACTGAGCAGAGCGGAAGGAGCAAAGGCAGAGAAGTTAATACGTGTGTCATTGCCAGAGATGGCGAACACCTGACTGACAGGATTGACAGCTTTATTTAGACATTTTGCTCTAGGTCAGTGTGTCCAAAGCAGAAACTGTTTATTTCATTAAATTGCAGATTTAGTTAGTACTTTCATAATAGATCATTTAAGAAACTTCTTCCAGAGACTACGGTAGTGCAGAAAAACAGCCATGTAAAAATTTTATTCATTATTATATGCATCATGTTAACTGGTAAAGAAAACAGTAATCTTTTTCTTTTCTCATTTAGTTTTTATTTACTTGGATCAGAAACTCTATATTGTGAACTTTCTGGAAATGGTGTGTCTTGGGATGATGTGCCCCCAACTTGTGAAGGTAAGTGTATTCTCTCTTTAGAATTTAGAGCAGCAGATCTCAAAGTTTTTGGCCTCGGATTTATGTTTTTAAATAACAGACCCCACAGAGCTTCTCTTCAGATGTGTTATGTCTGTTGATATTATTTTGGAATTGAAACTAAGAAGTTTTAAAAAATAATTTATTAATTCATTATTAAGAACAGTAAGCATAATACATATTAAAATATGCAATATATTTGTTACGAAATGTCAAATTTTTCTAAACCAAATGGCGAGGATAATGGCATAGTTTTACATTTTTGCAAATCTCTTCAATATTTGGCTTAAAGGAAGACCCCAGGATTCAAATTTTGCATTAACACAGCATTTTTAGTCTCTGGCAAATTTCGCCATACACTCCTAAGGATGAAAATGAATAAAGAGAATATATTTTCTCATAGAACTTTCTTCTAAATGGATAGTGGAGTCACAGCTAGATTGTAGAAATCATGTTAATGAATGTATTGAAGGCAGTTCATAGGACATTAGTAATGCTGTTGTAAAGTTTTAACTTTTCTTGGGCCTTTCCTGTCCTCTTTTTTCTCTTTTTAAGTGATTTTGTGTAAACCACCTGCAGAAATACCAAATGGAAAATACACCAATAGCCATAAGGATACTTTTCAATATAATGAAGTAGTAACTTATAGTTGTAACCCTTCCGGTGGACCAGATGAATATTCACTTGTTGGAGAGAGCCAGCTGATTTGTTCTGGGCATGTTTCATGGAGTAGTGAACCTCCTGAGTGTAAAGGTAATATATTTCTGTTTATCTCTTCACTTATGAATAGTAGGCAAACACTTTGTATAGACCTTTTACCAACAAGTAAAGAAAACAGCCATATGTGCTTTTTCCTCTTGTTACATTGGTTTCTAATTTGGTATAAGTAAAATAAAATAAAAAATAGTTCTAGTTGTAGAGTTCCCCACCGTTCACCCGACATGTTCTTGGCATTCCAATTTATACATTGCGAATTACTGTGTAGATGTATGAGTTAGGATTTTTTTTGCTTGAAATTTAAAGAAAATTACAAACAATATCCATAATGAACATAGAACCAAAATTCCTTGACAAAACATTAACAAATCAAATTCCTGTCATGTATAAATATAAGAATACATCATAATCAGGTAGAATTTATTCCACGAATGCAAGGTTGATTCAAATTTAAAAATTAATCAGTGTAATTTACCATATGAGAAGACTATAAAGAAGAAAAAGAAATACGTGATCGGGCCGGCCTAGTGGCGTGCTTGTTAACCGCTGGCTTGGGACGCCAGCTCTGAGCAGCAGGGTCCATGTTCGCATCCCACATGAGGGCCAGTGACACTACCCTCTACAGCTAAGATGCTGAACAACAGCTCAACCTGGAGCTGGGCTGCTGTGAGTCGCCGGCAACGGTGTAGGCTGCAGCCCCTGCTGCAGTGGGCTGCCATAAGCTACTGTGTGTGGTCGGCAGCCGGTGTGAGACAACAAGAGCCTCTGTGAGCCGCCGTCCAGAAGCTAGTGACAGATCTGCCTCGCCCAGGAAGAGCGCAATGATAATACCAACATGGGCCAGTGAAGCGACATCCTCCACAACTAGACTGAAGTACAAAAGGACAGCAACTTGTCTGTTCCCCTTTCCCAATTCCCCAATTTTAAAAAAAAAATATATATATATATATGTCATCATCTTAGTAGATGTGGTGGGGGGGAACATTTGACAGAATCCATCATTTTTTCATCATAAAACTCAGAGAACTAAGAATAGAAGGGAAAATCTGTCCTGATAAGTGGCTCCTACAAAAATCCCATAGCTAACATTTCACTTATTGGTAAATGACTGCTTCATTTTCTCCTAACGTAGGAACAAGACAAGGATGTCTACTCTCACTGCCTTAGCACAACAAGACAAGAAATAGAAATAGGCATACATATTGGAGAGAAAGAAATAACGTAGGCTGTAGGCATTATGACATGATTGTTTATGTAGAAAATTTGAAAGACTGAAGTTTCAGCCAGGTTGCAAACACAACATCAGTGTACAGCAATCATGTCTATATACTGTGAGCAGGAAACTTTTAGAAATTGAAATATTTAAGTAACATTTACTACCCCTCCAAACTACATATAAAATTTGAAAATAAATTTCATAACACATGTACCTTTTGAGTGGTAAAAACAACTAAACACTTATACAGGAAATTAAGGAAGACCTTAATAGAGAGAAATTCAATGGTCATGGATTGTAAGACTGAATTATAATAAAGCTATAAATTCCCCATAATTGATATATAATTTCTGCACAACCCCAATAAAATCCCAGTAGAACATTTTTGTATAAATTGATGAACTGATTCTAAAATTTATATGAAAAGACAAAAGAAGTATAATAGTAAAAATTTTGAAAAAATTAGAGAGGACTTATACTACTTGGTGTCAAGATTTATTATAAAACATACTATAAAGCTTGTAATGAAGACAGTATGGTATTGGTGAAAGGATGGCCTTAGAGAACAATAGAACAGAATAGAGTCTAGAACAGACCCTTTGAAATGTTTCCAGTTGATTTTATTGCAGATGTACAAACAGTTCAGTGGAAAAATGGTAAAAGAACATGCACAATTTGATATCTATATGCAAAAAAAGAAAGAAAAACTCAATCCATGTTAACACCATGTACATTCATTCAAAGCATTATATACTAAAATATAAAACCTAAAAATATACAACTTTTATTGTAAAATATAGAAGATATTTGTGACCTAGACAAAGGTTTCTTAAATACAACCCTAAAAGAATAACCCTTTAAGGAAAAAAAAAAATGAATAATTGGAACTTCTTAGAAACTCAAAAATTCTGCTCTCATGAAACAGTAGTAAGAATGAAAAAAATGAATCATAGAGTGGGAGCAAATATTTGCAAAGCACTTATCTATGATATGTAAATATAAAGATGTCTCAAACCAATATAAGAAAACATCCCATTTTAAAAAATGAGCAGAAAAAGCTGCCTGAAAAGTTAATGACCCAAAGATATCTGACAGCTCAGTTTGCGAACTTGCCACCGTGCGCTTACATTGGCGCACTGCAGAAAAAGCTCCGGAAGGTTTCCTAACCTTGGTGTATCAGTGTCTCACAGCTGTGTTCGTGTCGACGTGGGGCGGTGTCTTGCTGAGTGGCGTTCATTATTGTGTATTTTTGTGTGCTATTACAAGAATGTCTGATCTTGAATTAGAGTAATAAACAAACATTAAATTTCTCGTTAAACTTGGCAAAAGTGGAAGTGAAATCAGGGACATGTTAGTCCAAGTTTATGGGGATAATGCCATGAAGAAAATAGCAGTGTACAAATGCATTAAACGTTTTTCTGAGGGGAGAGAATGCGTCACTGATGAGAGAGGTCAGGGTGGCCAGTAACGAGCAGAACTGACGAAAACATTGCAAAAATTCATTGAATTGTGTGTCAAAATCATAGGCAGACTGTGAGAAGCATAGCAATCCAAGTAAACATCGATAGAGAAACAGAAAAATCTTAAATGAAATTCTTAGCAGGAGGAAGGTGTGTGCAAAAATGGTCCTGAAGGAGCTCTTACATCACGACAAAGCACCAGCTCACACGGCACTGCCTGTGAGGGAGTTTTTAGCCAGTACACAAATAATTGTATTGGAACACCCTCCCCACTCACCTGATCTGGCCCCCAACGACATCTTTCTTTACCCAAATATAAAGGAAATATTGAAAGGAAGACATTTTGATGGCACTCAGGACATCAAAGATAATACAACAACAGCTCTGATGGCCATTCAAGAAAGAGTTCCAAAATTGCTTTGAAGGATGAACTAGGCGCTGGCGTCGGTGCATAGCTCCCCAGTACTTGAAAGGTGACCATCGTGATATTAAGCAATAAGGCATGTAGCACTTTTCCTAGGATGAGTTTGCGAATTTAATTGTCTGAACTCATGTAAATTATGTCCAGCAAATCTACCTTAAAATCATTAGTGTGATTTACAGCAGTTTAGCATAGCAGAGAATAGATCAGTGAACCCAAAGTGAGGACGATAGTACCCAACATGATTTGAAAGAAATATGTTTTGAAAAGGGGGACAGACATACAGACCTGGGGAAGAGTAGCAAGTAGTCAAACATACATATTAATTGAGTTTCAGAAAGAGCAAAAACAACAGTATAGACAATTATTTGAAAAAGTTTTTGCCCCAAATTATCCACATTTGATCCAAAACAACAACCCCACAAGTCCAAGAAATTCAGTGACCCTAGCAGGATAAATAAATTTTAAAAATTTACTAAGAGGGGCAGGCCGAGTGACGCGATGGTTAAGAGCTGGCTTGGGACGCCAGAGGGCCCCGGCTCGGATCCCACATATGAGAGCAAGTGACACTGCCCTCTACAGCTAAGATGCTGAACAACAGCTCAACCTGGAGCTAGGCTGCCCTGAGTCACCGGCAACAGTGTAGGCTGCAGCCCCTGCTGCAGTGGGCTGCCATGGGCTACCGTGTGTAGCCAGCAGCCAGCGTGAGCAGCCAGCAGCCGCTGTGAGTGGCTGTCCAGAAGCCGGCGACTGATCTGCCTCGCCCGGGAAGAGCGCAATGATGGTGCCAACTTGGGCCAGTGAAGCAACGTCCTCCACAACTAGNAAGGATTAGTTTCTCAAATTACATAGAAAAGAAAAAATTATAGGAACAAACCACCGTTAATACTGGCTTTAATAATTGCCCATGTATGTACCTTCTGTGAAATGCTTATTTAGCCATGTGCCTTTGGGTTACTTTCTAGTGTCCTTCCGTTTCACACTTCAGGGCTCCCTTCAGCATGTTCTCAGGTGAGGTCTAGTTGTAACAAACTGCCTCAGCTTTTCTTTCCGGGAGAGTCTTAATATCTCCCTCGGTTTTGAAGCACGGTTTTGCTGGAAAGGGGATTTTTGGTTGACAGTTTTTTCCATTTAGCACTTTGAGTCTATCAGTTCACTGTCTTCTGGCCTCCAAGTTTCTGGTGAGAAATCTGCTCAATTCTACTTAGGATCCCTTGTACATCATGATTCACTTGTGTCTTGCAGCTTTTAAGATTCTCTCTATCACTGGCTTTTGAAGTTGGATCATTGTGTATCTTAGTGTGGGTCTCTTGAGTTCACCTTACTTGGAGTTAGTAAGCTTTCTGAACATTTATATCTTTCATCAAATTTGGGAAGTTTTTGGCCATTATTTCTTTAGATAGTCTCTCTGCCCCTTTCTCTCTGTCTTCTCTTTCAGATGCATATGACCAGAATGCATATATTGGTCTACTCATTGGTACCAAAGGACCCTTAGGCTCTGTTCATTTTTCTTCAATCTTTTGTCTTGCTGTTCATCAGACTTAAGAATTTCCATGGTCCTGTCTTCAAGTTCACTGATTCTTTCTTTTGCATGCTAAAAACTGCTAATTCCTCTAGTGAATTGTTCATTTAAGTTACTGTATTATTCAACTCCAAAGTTTCCTTTTTGTTTCTTTTTAGGTTTTCTATCTCCTAGCTGATATCTAGGTTGTGTTTACATGTTGTTATCTTGACTTTCTACATTTCTTCCTTTAATTCTTTGAGCTTCTTTAAAAGTTATTTTAAAGTGTTTGTGTATTAGATCTGGCCATTAGGTCTTTTTCAGGGAGAATTTATGTTAATTTATTTTTTCCTTTGAATGGGCCATACTTTCCTGTTTCTTTGTATGCCTTGTCATTTTTTTTCTTGAACTGGTCATTTGAAACTAATAATGGGGTAA